AGGGAGGGAGGGAGGGAGGGAGGGAGGGAGGGAGGAAGGAAGGAAGGAAGGAAGGAAGGAAGGAAGGAAGGAAGGAAGGAAGGAAATGGTGGCTATATTATGAATGCTTTAGATAGCATGATATTAAATAACATATCTAACTGAAACAGGTGAATGGTCTCTCAAAATATCCCAAGTAGAATTTCTCTTGTACAAAGTCTCTCATTCACTCACGTTCTCTCTGCCTACACTCCTCAGGGTCGGCAGACACTACAAGGCTTTGCCTTTAACGTCAACTATAGAGACTGAAATAGGATAATGCCAACACTGAGCTCAAAATACTTTATCGTATTTGAACGTTTCTGTATAATCTGGTGCTGATACTAAACTGTTAAACCCATCATAACCTACAACCTTCAAATACTACAATAAAACACACCATTTATTCATTTTAAACTAGAGCCGGGCGATGGTGGCGCACGCCTTTAATCCCAGCACTCGGGAGGCAGAGGCAGGCGGATCTCTGTGAGTTCGAGACCAGCCTGGTCTACAGAGCCAGTGCCAGGACAGGCTCCAAAGCCACAGAGAAACCCTGTCTCGAAAAACCAAAAAAAAAAAACAAAAAAACAAAAAAAACTAGAAAACTTCCAAAGCTGACTACTATAATATTTAAATTAATTTCTAGGAGAAATGGCAAGAAGGATCTTGTTGAATATAGTATAAATCTTGAAGAGGCTAGACCAACTGAGGCACCTGGGAAAGACATCCTCCACCCTGATGAGCTGCCTGCAGAAGTTTCCAGCTTCTGTGAGTTGTCACCCATGCTGGAGCAGACTTTGATTAAAGCTGTCTTTGAGTCATTTCTGCTCCTGTAAATAAACTTTCACCCATATTCCTTTTAGAAACCCCAATAAACTAATTGGTTCACCAAGGTGGACTTTATGTAAATAAACTTTCACCCATATTCCTTTTAGAAACCCCAATAAACTAATTGGTTCACCAAGGTGGACTTTATGTTGGGTACCTGTGTTGGGTCAGCAGACATTTTGCTCACATCTCCCCAGGAATAGCACCACACAATACCAACTCACTTTATAGGTGCACAAATCCATCAGCACAGGAGGAGCCCATGTGCCTTCACCAACGCTAAGAGGCCCCACTCCTGAACACTATCATGTTAATGGCATCTGAATTCTGGACATCATACATTCAAACTACACTAACATAATTATTCTGCCTTTATAATTCCTTACACTATTTAGGAACACTTGCTAAAAAATATTTAGAGCCAGGCGATGGTGGCACACACCTTTAATCCCAGCACTCGGAAGAGGCAGAGGCAGGCTGATCTCTGAGAGTTCGAGACCAGCCTGGTCTACAGAGCTAGTGCCAGGACAGGCTCCAAAGCCACAGAGAAACCCTGTCTCAAAAAAAAAAAAAAAAAATTTAGAAATATATTCAGATAAAACATAGCAAAATAACAGAAGTGAAGAACATGCATTAAGTCCAACTTGCAAGATTAAACTATGTTTAATATACTTCTTAATAGGTGAACAGTACTCAGTAAGTAGAGGCACGGGAACTGAGTTCAAGGCCAGCCTAGGCTATATTTTTAAAAAGAGGAGGAAGAGAGAGGGAGAGCCAGAGAGGTACAGAGGAAGAGAAAAAAAAATAAAACTTGTTTCTCGGGCATAGAAACTTTCAAGAAAATGGAATTCAGTGAGTAATTTGTAAGAAATATGTGATTAAATCTTATCCCAATTTTAGACATTTCCTACGTCAAAATGTGGCTTTATTCACAGGAAGGCAGCACCAAGAAGCAGTTCTCTAGTGAAGTTGTAAAACAGTTGAGGTCAACAAAGAAATCACAGCTGGACACACTGAGGATGGTGTGGTTCTACAAATGAAAGGGAACTGCTTGTCCCCACATACAGAAGGAGACTGTCAAAGAGACGCATGCTGGAACCTGGCCATGCATGCTTATTTGGCTACAGGTATTCCTTACTTCTGAAAGGGAGGAGAAACCTGGCTTTTCATATGAAAGTTCACAAAAGCTCTTGTATCTTTGCTGTGCACTAGATTCCAGGAGCCCTTTACAAACTCCCAGACCCAGCACTGTATTCTTCAGGGAGACAACCTGAGCACTTTGTAAGACGATAGGAAGCTAAGGAGCTGGAGCTGAGACCTGAAGATTATAAACTAGGAAGCATACGGAGTCAGGCATGGTGCTGTAAGGATGATAAACGTGGTAGGCAGTTTTTTTATTAATAGTCTGAGCCATGTCCTGGGCTATATTCTCATCAGCAGAACGGAATCTTCCCAGCTACCTCAACAATACACAGTGTTAAACGACTCTAGGAATCGCACTTCAAGCTAGTTGAGAAGTGCATCCAGGGCCTTTGAGAGATACAAAAGACAGGATTCACTAGTTAGCATGAGACCGAATGCAAGTAATTCTTCTTCAAAGGAGAATGTAGGTTAACTGATGCAGAAAACTAAAAGGCTTTAATACAAAGCCGTAATTAATGGCCATTATAAATCATAGCGGTACATCTCTGATTTCAGGTTTGTGGGGTGCGCTGCATGCAACACACAGTAATTCAACAAAAAGTGGCCTCCTGCATGTAATTGCCTTTCCTGGAGAAAACCAATTTGATCCCCAAGAGGTAGGAAATGGATGCAAATAATTACACATACTTATAATACAATTACTTTCTGCTCTCCAAAGCAAACTTTTTAAAGTATGCTTTTATTTTAAGCAAAATAATTTTTCTTTGACTACCCCACCACCACCCTGTTATATTCATAGAAAAAAAGGCCACACTTTCACATTTGCCTATTTTATATTTTTAATTACTCAGTTACTCAGAGATGTGAACATTTGAAGATTTCACACTGACTAAAATCCTCTGCTCTCTGAACTGAATGATACATTAGGTAAAATTGCTCCAGCATAAAACTACAAAACAAGGTGGATGTGGAGGCACCATTTTGCGGGATTCTACAAGCATGGAGAGTTCCCTGCCAGAAGCTACGAAATGATAATGACTGAATCAGAGAGTGAACATGAAATGACTCTATACCAGACCTTCCCTTAGGAGCGAAGGCCAGCCTTGGTAGAGCTTTGCTGTGCATACAGACTGTGGCTGTGGCTGTCCACTACGACAAAGAGCAAACCCATAGCTCTATATAGACAGATAGATGATTGATTGATAGATAGATAGATAGATAGATAGATAGATAGATAGATGATAGATAGATAGATAGATAGATAGATAGATAGATAGATGATAGATGACAGATAGATAGATATAGATAGATAGATAGATAGATAGATAGATAGATAGATAGATAGATAGATGATAGATGACAGATAGATAGATAGATAGATAGATAGATGACAGATAGATAGATAGATAGATAGATAAATAGATATAGAGATATTCCTTGAAGCTCCCCTCTGATCGACACCAAAGCCATCTAAATAGCAGCTGACTCCAGAATCGGCAGGTTTATACTGTTTCCAGGGTGACAGGGCTAACAGTGGCAATCCTCCAGAAAACCAGCTCTGCAATGAATGCTACCAAAACTTGCTTCCGAGTGACTTTTAAGTTTTTGGTTAGAGACATCTTTTCTTTCATATCTTTAATAACATATGTGAAATTCGACTTTTCATATATGCAGTGAACCGTGACTGATACACAAATCACCTGACCAATCTGTGTAACTGGCTTTCCTCAAAGGAAAACAAGACCATCTGATTCAGCTACTTCAGCTGGTGTTTACTTACTCACTTCTCGATGCTGCGACCCACTGAATATCCACTTGGCCTGCCCTGCATTGCTAGGACTCCACTTTCCACACGAGCAGACCAAGTGGCCATCTAGATGGGGGCATGCAGAGTGGAGCCCTAGGTAGAAGGCTAACAGGTTCCCCCCCCCTTCCTTGGTTTTCTAGGCGGCTCCTACTCTGACCTCTACTCCCTTTTGCTGGTAAAGCTCCTCTCCCTGCTGTGTCACTGGTCCGTCTGTTCTGCTCTCACATCCCACTCCACTCTTGACTCATCATTTACACCCCCTCCCACAAGCTGCTCCTCTGTAGCCACTGGCTCACAAATCACTCTCATTTTTGTGCTTAGACATTCTCCCGCTGCGACCTCTGCTTGAGACACACTTTGCACAATGCATTTACTTCTGTCCCAGTCCCAATTCCACAAGCACTTACCTTTCCTAAAGCGGATGCTCCCTGTAAAAGGGGTGAGTTTTAAAACTCCAAAAGGCTAGAAAAACTAGATATGAGTGGAAAAATTAGTATCCCTAATATCTGACATTATCTATCTCCGTGTGAACCATAAAAATGGAAAACTGAGGCAACAGATTATAACTGAAATCGAGAAAGCTTTTAAGTCTTTATACTGTATATTAATTATATACATTAATCCTAACAAATTAGTTAACATCTGTTAGCAAAAGGTTATATAAATTATTTGTTATTATCTTTTTCAGTATTAAATCTCAATCACATTTAGTAACCAAGGCAAAATTCTAGGATTTCAGGTTTCCCCACTCTGAAACATGGCAGCTCTATTTACTCTACACACCCTGTTCAACCGGAGCAGAAAAGATCATACTCTAAGCTTGGGGAGAAGTTGCCTGAAGACTATCCTTAGCTAAAACAAACAAACAAAACCTATCGGAACAAAAATTTCTTAAATTTTTATTTTATTTTAAATGTGGGAACATTTGCCCGCATGTGTCTGAGCCATTGCATGCAGTTCATCCAGAGGCCAGAAGAGGGCACTGGATCCCTTGAACTGGACTACACAGGCACAAACCACCTTTTGGAGCTATGAACTGAACCTGAGTCCTCTGGAAGCACAGCCAGTGCTCTTAACCATTATTTATTTAAAGAAAATCTGTATTTCTTAAGGTGAGCTTAAGTGAAATTGAAGGGTTTTTTAATATATCCAGGTAGCTCAATCAATTTGAGCCTTCAAAGTACTAGAAAGGGGGAGATAAACGCATTCACATTCTCCAAGTTCATATGTATCTAGAAGACACTGTGTCCTTGGAGTCAACTATCACCTCTGGCTGTTATATTTAGGACTTAGTGCATCAAAGTCTCTGTCTCTCTCTCTCTCTCTCTCTCTCTCTCTCTCTCTCTCTCTCTCTCTCTCTCTCTCTCTCTCT